GAAAAAGAGTGAAAAGGGGGAAAGGCGGAGAAAAGGAGGGAAAAAAGCATTAAAAAAACAAAGGGGAAAAAAGGGAGGAAGGGAAAAAGGGAGAAAAAAAATTAAAAAGGGGGAAGGGAAAAGGGGAAAAAAGGGGGGAAAAAAAACAAGGGAAAAGGGGAGAAAAAAGGGAAAAGGGGGAAAAGGAGGGGAGGAAAAAAGGGAGGGAAAAAAAGAAAAAGAGGGAAAGCAGGGGGGAAAAAGAAAGAAGGGGGGGGGGGAAAGGAAAGGGAGTTCTAAACATCCTGCAAAGATGTAGCAAAAAGCCCACTGCCCACAGGTAGCTGTTACGCTGAAACTGTCTGGCAGTGGCTGGCAGCCGTGCTGCTGCCGCCTGCCCTTTTTTTTTCGTTGCTGTACCTGCCTGCACTGTTCACCACTGTTTCACCAGTGACCATAAATAAGTCGCTTACGTTTTTGGCAGGCATTTGCCAGTCGTCAGAGTTTGCTGGCCCGGCTGTCAGGATGAACCTCATAGCCTCAAACAATGGCCCTGAACATAGGGACAACCATCCGTGGACATGTTGTGATAAGACAAGGGGTAATAGTTTTAAACTAAAAGAGGGCATATTCAGACTAGCTCTAAGGAAGAAATTTTTCCCTGTGAGGGTGGTGAAACCCTGGCACAGGTTGCCCACAGAGGTGGTAGATGCCTCATCCCTGGAAACATTCCAGGTCAGGTTGGACAGGGCTCTGAGCAACCTGATCTGGTTGAAGATGTCCCTGCTCATTGCAGGGGGGTTGGACTAGATGGCGTTAAAAGGTCCCTTCCAACCCAAACCAGTCTGTGATTCTATGCTTGAGCCTCAGACAAAGCCTCAGCACTGTCGTGGAAAAGACTCATGCTGAATGTGAGAGGCCCTGGCTCTGAATACCTTTTCACACAAAGATCTCATGGCTTCCCAGGACCAGCAATACCTGTTCATGCAAGCCCCTTGCTCTGAAGTCATCTCAATACATGCTGGCTTTACTAGGTTTAGTAGTCTAACTCTCAGTAGTCTCATTCCTGTTGGTTTTTTTTGTAATTGTTTTGTCAACTTGACTTGAACATAAAATAGGGCCTGAAAATTTGTGCCCAAAAGGCAGACATCACTTAGAACTACAATGAGATGTTAGGCTAGAGACACTCAGCAGCCTCAGCTGATGATGTGCCACTGCAATGCTGACAGCTGTGTAAAGACACAGAGTTTTTTTCTACCCTGCATCATGGAGATGTGACTGCAGTGCCACTACCCAGCAAATTTTTGCCACAGACCATGAATTTATGCTTGCGTCTGGTTATTTTCAAAGGGCTACATGTTGAGAAAAGAAGCGACTCTGCGTCCAGCCTGCAGAGCAGCTCATTTCCAGCAGGCTGTACCATACCTGCTGACTTTCCCTTCTCCACTCACTCACTGTCAGGCTGGAGGTGCACAGAGACAAGACACTGTTGCCCCTGAAAGACAGTTCTGTCCTCCCCACAGACCGCCCTTCCATTGCATCCACTTCCTGCTGTAGCGTCAGGTCAGGAAATTAACCTTGATAGAACAAAGATAGGCAAAAAGGGAAAACAGATCTGTGTTTCGGCTGCTTATTTGTACAACCCAAATGCTTGGCTCAGGAGGGAAAAAGGGAGCAAAACAACGCACAAGGGCAAGAGCAGAAGAGCTGTTAGCCTGTGGAAGCATGGCCACAGGTTTAGATCCCCTGGCATGCACTTGCCTGGTTCTTTTTCAGATCCAACTGTCTTGCCTAATAATCAACACCATTTTACTTGTGCATACTGTTATTCCCTTTGCTTCTATCACAGCAACTTAATCTTCCCCCTTCTGCTCTTGCAGGCCAATGGTGTTTTGGGGGACAAAGCAGCAATACCTACACAATGTCTATTGTGAAGGTCTCTCAAGTCATGAAGATCTTTGCAGTGTCCCCACCACACCACCACCGTGTCCCTAACAGTACTTCATGAAGGCAGGCGCAGGTTATTCTAGATAATTTCTGTAACAGGTTTTACATTTTAATTTGCCATTAAATACAAAAAGAATTAAGCTTATAGCTACGCTACATGCAGCACAGATGAAGGACAAACCTAGCAGTTCCTCTTCAATTTTCCTAATGCATACAGAAGTTAGCCATTTAAGCATAATACTCTGAACATGCTTTTGAATATGCATTATTTTAAACAGAAAAATGAGACGACATTCCAAGAACTAGTGAAAGTTAAACCTAGCAAGGGAGGCAGAGAAAACAGCAACTCTTCCTCAAAGAATGAGGACAGGTCATCTTTGCAGAATCAGAAACATCTTGCTCCAAAAATTAATCAATAAGTTTTTAAAAACTATTATGGGCTTTGGCAGGAGTAGCAATTTCAAAGGTTTCTCCCCGAGAACCAACCTTCTCAGAAGCCAGCTAACCTAGCACTATTTTCAGCAGAAACACTTCTGAGGAACTTGCTTTTACAGATGTGATAAACGACTGGAACAGCCTGATCTGGACACGCTTCCCACCTACTCCTTCCCCAGTAAAATTCCTGTATAGAAATACGGTAACAGAATCCCTTTTACCAGAAAATCATGGAAACTCTGACCTGGGCTGAGTTACAGAGGAAACCACAGTGTGCTGCTGTGCATTATTTATTGCAAGTACTCTGAGCTTTGATCAGAAGATATAAAGAATAGATTTAGAACAAATTCAGTATGTATATTATATAAACTTTTATTTACATAAGGCATCAAAATTGCCCTTTTTAACAAAAGGGTCATTTTCCCTTTTACCAATACTTTGGTGAAAGAAGTGTCACATGTAGTAGACTAATATTCACTGGTATACTTGTTCTGAACAAGCAGGTACAATCCAATGTACAAGGTAAAACCACGCAAGACCTAAGCATACTATGTCATGAATCACTCTGTAGAAGAAAGAATTAAGGCTTGATTGCGTCACGATGATGATCAGTCATGCATCATTTATTCCCACAAAGAATAAAATTCATTTCCAACTGAAGCATTAGTAGCAGAAGTCCGGTATAATCCCCATGTTGTCCACATCAAAAAACAATTTGGCATCTTAGAAATCAGATCGAAAAGTAGGAGGAAAGAGAGAGGAAAACAGAAAACAGCCCTTGCTTTAGAATCCTTTATAAGCATTTCCAGTGTCCACTTGCAGAAACCCTTCACTTTAAAAAGGAAAAACAGGACTTTCAAGGACTGATCTAGAAAATTTTCAGAGTGACTAAGTTATGGTTCCATTGATCATGAATATGAAATACGTACAGAAAATACATTGTTTGGAATAATGAATTCCACACTGAGATCCCCAAGTAAATGGTATATATACATTGAGCTGAACCTGTTTAATAGGTCTGATTTATAAAAATGGTAAACCTGTATTATTTTTCGGCCTGATTTAATAATTCCTGAGTTTTAGATCACTGCGGAGCCACAGCAGACAAAACTCTGAATGATGTAGTGAAAAGTTTTGCAAATCACTTCCAACACTAGCACACATTTTGTTCAGCAACTTTCAATCATCAATAAAAGTCAGTCTTCCGGGTCCTTCATTTTTCATCCACCGGCGATACCTCTTCCACCGGGGATCCATGGCCATTTTCTTCTTTAACTCCTCCTCTTGTTCTCGTTTATAGACCTGATAGACAGACAAAAGCTTTTAATAAAGCTGAAGAAATAGCTTAAGTGAATCTCAAGGGGGGGTGTAAGCATTCGTAGTTCAACCATTGACCAGCTTATTGTTTTTACAGAAGACTGAATAGCAACACAGAAGCAGACCTTGACAAACATGAAGCATAGGAGAACCTTCAGCCAAGGAGCCTACTGGGTGTAGCTGAGATACTTTGCATTTTTGCTGGGAGCAGAACTACCTCCTTGCAAGATGCTGCAAGCTCCAAGACTTCTTTTGCTAAAGAACTAGATACTCATGCATTCAACAAAAGAAAATTACTTTTCCATGCAGTTCAGTGCCTCACTTCAGTTGCTTTCCCATTTCAAAGTCATTGTCTAGACAGAATACTGCTGTGGACCTTTTTATTCCTAATTGAGTTTCTCAACTAAGTTAGTTTCTCTACATTAAGTATTGGCAGTACCAAATGATAAGTAATTACATTCTGTCAAGAAATGGCATCATTGTAATGACATCTACAATGATCAGCGAAGTCAAGCATCTAAAAAAAGCAACAGCATCTGCATTTTTATTCTGGAAGGCAGTTTATGTAGACACAGCTAGTGTAAAACTCAACACCATGCAAGTTTATGCTACCTCACTATCATCTGATTTTTTCCCAGAAGGGAATTAAATTTAAGGTTCTGCTATGCATGAACAAGATTTTTAAACTATTAGAGATGGCTTTATAAATACACCAGCTCAATGTTCTGTGATAATACAGGTTTTACAAATTATTAGGAAAGTAACAGAGGGGAAAAAAAAATATTGTGGAGCTCCATGACGTACTTGTATTGAATTCTTGGCCTTTCCCATCCTAAAAGGACATTTGAAAACCAAACAACATGCAGGTAGACATCTCCAATGATCAAAGAACCAGAGAAGCTTTTGGGAAGAAACACCTAAGCATATTTTTCAGCCTACAAAAGATGTGACTAAATTTCAAGTAAGGATACAGTAGGAGTACACAGGAGCACAGGTAGCACAAGAAAAGAGAATAAAGCATGGTTATTCTCCATTTCCAGTAATACAAGAACGAGAAGGTGGCTTCAAAAAAACCATTGTCTTCTACACGTATTGCTGAACACATAACCAGATGGCACAGCTGACACTGAAAATTTTAATGCATTCAAGGAGTGCCTAGGTAAGTTTACTAAAGAAAAACTCATTAAAGCAATTACCTACGAAGACACCATTTCCTTTTCAGGAAGTCCCAAAGCTGCAAATTCTACTGCATAAATATTGCTATATAGGGACAACTTTCATGTATTCATCACTAAAAATCAACTGCTGGCCACCACAGGAGATGAGTTTGGGCTAAAAAGACTTCACTTCTGGCAAATACGGCTATTTTACATTCAGTGACAAAAACATCACCAGTTAGAAACAGCATTCATCCCAAACCATGTTATTTTTTTCTCTACAGCAACAGAATATTCATCCTGTTCTTACTTTTTCCAGATAACATCTGCTTTGACTAGTAACATTACTCAATCTTTGAACTTCCAGACTGTTTTCTAGCACACCCACCATAATTCAACATGTGTATGTACCTGTCAGCTAATCCTTCCCTTACATTAGCATCAATTTTGCTATTTCCTCTCCAAATTTCCAGATTAATCTACTCCTACCTCCTTTAAAAGAAGCATTCTCTTATCTTTGGTGCCCTGCCAGCAGAAAAGGAAGTTCTGCCACCACTCCATTTATTTTCCCAGCATCGCATCTGCAGAGCAGCAGCAACATCTCCTCTTCCCCTTGAGCAGGCCAAATTCACATTCTCAGTTTCTCTTCTAGAAACCTCCCACCCAGATGGCCCGCAGATGAGCTTCTGTGGAACAATAAAAGTATTTTGTCATCTGCCGCCCCCCAGCATCTGAAGCCATTCTGGACTGCAAATTCCATGCTGTGGCTAATGGTCTTTCACTGCTCTCACAGAAAGCTTAAAAAAAAATAAATTACATATTGACTATTTAGTAACTGGCTGTCCATGACAAGAGTAGCAGTTGAGCCCAACAGTATTTCATATACCATCTGAACTTGAATAGGTATACAGCACAGCAAGAACAGTCCCTGATTCACTGAAGGCCAAAGAACTACCCAGGGACAGTATTAAAAAAAAAAAAAAAAAAAAAAGCTAGGAATTAATGGCTTAGAAGACCGATGAAACAGGAGTTTTAGATGATCCAGGTAATTCTTACTACAAATTATTACTGTTTGGAGAACAGTCTTCAACCTAGAGTTGTAACTTTGTCACACCATGTCATGATAAGAAAGCCTTCCACCAGATTCAGCTAAATCTTGTATGCACAGATTCCCTAACAATCACAGGTAGATGTCCCCTGACAGAGCAAATCTCATACCCATGGGCATGGTCAGGAGCTGTTGTCTACCAGTCCATGGGCATAAGAAGTCAAATAAAACACACCGAATGGTTGTCTAACAGTTTTCAGTTTAGAAAGCAATAGCTAAAATTGAAGCAATGCTTCACAAAGCGGCATCCCAAGCACCTTCACAGAACAGCTGTTCTTAACTCTGGGAGTGCAGGATAACTAACATTAGCTTTTCCACTAGAGCTACCCACCTCATAGTTTTCTCGTATCCACAGTTGCCGTTCAAGAAAGGTCTCTTTTTGGTGATCTTCTAGACTGTCAAACTGAGACTGAGACATTTTCATGTACCTTCGTATGATGTACAGCTTCTCTTCCACACCGTACTCTTGCCCTTTAATAGTGAAACAATAAATCCACCAACAGTACCAAACTATGTATTTGCACAAGTAAAAAGGAGCAAGAAGGATCTGAAATAGAAGGATATCATATATCTTGGGCTTCTGATAACCGCCTTTTATATCTATTTTATTTTTAATAATGTCTTTTATGATTTCTTCCTCTTCTTCACGAATTTCTTCTTTAGACCGCCTGTTCTTGCCTTTTTCTTTAGTCTTGTTGAGTAAGCCTTGCTGCCTGGCAATCTCAGTAGCCTGTATACGGTATTTTGGCACTGTAGCTAGGTAGTTGATAGCTTCATTGTAACTACTCCACCAGCTGAAGAACTGTAATTGAAGAACAATAAAAGTAAAAAACATGTTTTTATACAGATACATTCCTATTTGGAGGTTTGCCATGAAAAAAAAAATGCTGTCATACACCTTTAACCACAATTACATTACAGAAGGGTAAAAACTGAAGGTAACAGTATTTCTTCTGCAGTATTATAGAAGCTGTAATTATTCCTCTACGCTTATTAGTAAGGCAGTTGGAAAACAGATGTGTAGATGTGTATCTCACAGCAATACACAGTGATGAGGAAGGACGGGCTGACACTGTTCAGACTGGTTTTGTTCATGAGAAGATGGTAATCTCCTGAAGGTTAATGCTAGACTGTGCCGGCCATTCTCAGAAGCCCCCTTGGATTTATAACATAGCTGGTATAGGAACATTTCATTACGAAATTGTTACCCATTTAAAACAGTTAGTTAAACATGGATTAAGTACATGAAAATCTCATTAGTCTGACAGGATTGACTTTACAAGGTTCAACATCCCTCTCTAATCTCCAGCCATGCTCTGAATTTCAATGGGGGGAAAAGAAACCAACCACCCAAACAACAAACCAGAAATATAATGCCTGGGGTGAACTTGTATTATTAGGGCAACTTTTTTAAAAAAGCAGCATTTCACACTGTCCACCAAGACAAAGGACAGACATATACCTGTTACACAAACTTAAGGCAGGCCAAGAAGCAGAAAGAGCAAGAAGCAAGAGACAGGCAAATCAGTTTACACAGATGTTTACACTGAATTTGCAGTCACCTGGCAGCTGGACTGCAGGAAAGCGAGTGTCTCCACTTACCGCCAGCGTAAGAGGCGAAAAGAAACTCTGCCATTGCAAGTATGTCTGAAGAGAAATTAAGTATTTGGCTGCATATGCCATTGGAATTTATTATTCCAAGCTCTCAAATTCCAATCAACATATTTTTAACTTCCAAAATCCATTTAGAAGTGAGCTGTCTGCACCACAGAATAAGTGGTGTCTTCATCTCTTAAAAGTTTTGGGTTTTTTTTAATGACATTTTGAACCAGTAACCTAATAGATGCTAAAGAAAAGAGTTATGCACCTTCTTCCACTTAGATATGTGTCATCACCAGCACAAGTTTTCTCATCTAAAACACAGGCTGTTTCCTTCCTGTTACCACCTTCAGAGCAAACTTCACTGAACCGAATTCACTTCTCTCCTGACTTCACTGTGGTGTTTAAAAAACACTGCAATGTAAGATTCACACATTAGTAAACTCCCAATATTCAGTCCTATCACCTGGATTGAGCCTTGAATTTAGTTTGCAATCAGTCTGCTTCTTAAAAAATTGCTTATGCAGCTTGACAGACTGACACACGCTTATGTAGAGCACTACACCTGCCTGTGCTCAGGAATGGGCTATTCGAAGCCTGCCATGAAGAACTAAGTAATTTTAGAACATCTGCACTTGTTTCTATGGCATATCCCACCATTAAAAGAAACTAACCTTGACCTTTGTCCAAGGTACCAAGGGAAATCAAAAATCTGCTCAGTACATCCTGACTTCAGATTTGTTATGGACACCACACTGAAGTTTACCATAGCAGGCAGTGACAGGCCTCCTCACTGATGCTGTTTAATACCTGGCACCTTAGGAATGCTGCAAATACTTCTCTTCCTGTTCAGAAACTCACTGAGCAGTGTCACGTAAACATGGGATTTTACCTGAAACATGGAGATGGCACACACCGTAACTAAAATCACTATTCTGACATCCACTTTAGGTGCCAATCTCCTGCTGTAGTAGTGATAATAATGCCTGTAGTACTCTTCAGGATGATCCAACATGTAGTCATAATCTTTACGTGTTTCTTCATCCTGCAGGATGAGACGAAAAACATGCATAGGTTCAGATTCCTGTTTCCACTTACTCTGTTACAGCTGTGGTTTGCACCTCATTAATGACCATGCTGCTATAAAATTGGCAATAGCCAGACCAAGTATGAAGCACAGAAGAAAATCTTTGGTCCTTTTCTCATACCCTCAATTTGTTCTCACACTCATCTACCCACACACATCTGACATATGTGGTCTTAAATGCATAAGCATATGTGAAGATATTTAATACTGAAAGACAGGCAACTGGAATCCATATAATAAATATTTTTAAGTACAGAATGGGAAATCCAGATAGAGTTAACAACTATCGCTCAGGAAAAGATTTTCAGATGAAGGACCTATTAAGAGATTGTTTTACAAATCTTTTAGAATTAGCTTGCAGGGCTGTGGAATCTATCCAGTGGAAGGCCATTTCAAAACCTCATTGTTCTCATTTTCTTGGAGTCTTTCTCATTTTCACCCATGTAATTAAGAGACGAGAAATCTAATTTTGTCAGCCTCAACTGCATTCCTTTCCTATCCCCAAAAATAGTTCCTTTTTTCTCCCCTCTCGCAGCCTTGAAACACTTACAGGTTTCTTTCTTCCATTCCCAAGTTGCATCCTTGCCAAGCCACACATATTTTGCCCTCACAACTCCCAATTTTTAAAAAAGCCACTGTGACTTTTTTGTTTAAAGGTATACCTCTGAGACACAAGCCCAGTCGGTTCACTTTAAATACAACGGGATTTTCAGGAGCACAAATTCTAAATACACAGGCATCCTCAAGAGAGCTGCATCCCGTCCCCGCACTCCTGGACTGGCTACTGAAGAGGGTTGTTAACCAGGCTGCTGGTGGGAAGCACGCCGGCTGGGCCCACACAAAGGGATGCAAAGCCGGTGCTGCAG